ACACAAGAAGAACTTAGCAAAACGTTAAAAATCCTTCCTTTAACATAAAAATGTAAAAAATAAAAATAAAAATTGACAACCCAATCTTCAGTATATTGCATAAAAACGATAGGACCATATACGACCTTGTTTTCACTTTTCAGTTTTGTATTGTGCGTTGTTATTTGCACACTACAGTTGTTACATCTTTTTTATTAAATAAATAAAGATAATGAATAATGTATTAAAGTTTGATTTTTTATTTCTCGGAATAAAAAAAAATTGTGTTATCAAACGTAATTCTGATTCTCGGAATAAAAATAAAATATGTTAACAAACGTAATTCTGATTCTCAGAATTGTTCCAAGGCACAAAAATAGAGAATCATTTCTTTTCAGAAACAGTGCCAGTAATCAGAATGATTGTCATTCGCAGCCTTAGTTTTAGGGTGTGCATGACAATTTTTTCAGAATAATTTTTTTTTTTTTAAAATTTTTGTTCTCAGGAACAGAAATGGATAGAAATAGTGTTTAACAAAATCAATTTATTTCTTTGTTCCCAAGAATGAATCGGTTCAATTTCTGTGGTGGGAAACAGAAAAAAGAATAAAATAAATTATAATTTTTTTGTTCCCAGACACAAAATGAAAAACACTTGTCTCTCTCAATCACTATCCACCACTACCATCATCACCACCGCCACCATCACCATCTCGACATGACCACTGTCGTCACTGCCACCACTCCCGCCACCATTAGTACCACCATCGCTGCAATCATTGTCGTCACCACCACCACCATGTCAACACCACGTCACTACCACTGCCACCGTTGCCACCGCCATGCCACAACCACCACCACCCCACCATATGAAAAGGAAAGTGATGATCCAAATTTTTTTTGTGCTTAATAGGAATACTTTTTTATTCTATTATTTGTTGTGTTATTAAAAGCAATTCTCATTCTCAGAATAAAAATAAAATTTGTTATCAAACACATTTTTTTCTCAGAAATTGTTTGAAGGCACAAAAATATAAAAGAATTGTTTCTTTTCATAAATAGTTCCATGGAATATAATAGTTGTCATGCACACCCTTAATATTATAAAATACCGATTTGGATGGATTACTTTTTTTTTTTTTAAGAACCTGTTTAATTTTTTCAAAATAAAATTATTTTTCACTTTGTATGTGTATTTTGATATCTTTTTTATAAAAATAAAAGTCAGATACAAAAATAAAATAATACTTTTTCGAAACCAAAGGCCTGTGTAACGCCCAATAATTTGCAAGGATCAATGACTGTCCCCGCAAACTAACATTAGACTTTTTAGCGTACTTTATTCTCACTTACACACTTCTTGGGAACACTTTCTAGGAGGTCACTCATCCCAAAATTTCTCCAAGTTAAACATGCTTAACTACAGAGTTCTCCCGTTTCGAGCTACTGAAAAATATATGCATCTTGTTAGTATAGATAGTACCAAGTAATTCTTATATGCTATCTCCAATTGTACCGTCCCATACCAGCATAGTCTCTGAAATCACTCTATTTCTGGTGTTGATTCGATTCATTAATGTACCCTCAACTGCAACAGTTGGCATAAGCCGCTCATTTTCAGTGCTCTTTTGCACGTGCGATCACTCTCTACCCTTGCCAGCCCTTGGGATGTTACAGCCTATTTGAAATATGTTTTAAAAGACAATTTTATGATTTTCAGGATAAAAAAATAAAAAAAATAAACTCGTTAAAGTTTTGAAAATTATAATTGTTTTTTGTTTTTAGAATCAAATTTAGAGAACATGGGTTGTTTTTGTTTTGTATTTTGACTTTTAACTTTCAAAACAAACAAAACATAAAAAACACTTATTTCATTAATTATTATACAAAACAATTTTAAGAATAAAAAAATAGAATACAATCAAACACATCCCAAATTTTCTAGCCTTAACATGTGATTAGTGCAACTTACGAAAAAAAAATCAATAAAAAATAGTGTTTTTAAACCCTGCCTCACCCGGGGTCGACCCCGCCATTGCGTGCGCTTTGACCCCAAAAACTCCCCAGTTGAACCTGTGACTCCCGGGTCAGATGAGGTAATTGCATTTTTTTTTTTAAATTTACACCAGAAAAGACATCGTTTGGTGTATAAAAAAAACTCGTTGCTCCCTAGATCTAGAATTAGATCTAAAATCTGAATCATTCTTCTTCTTTTCTTCGGTCTTCTCTCTCCATTTCCTCCGTCATGCTGGTTCTTCTCTCTCCACCGTTGATTCGTTGCACCACCACCTCTCCTCCGCTATTCTCTCTTGGGTAAGAGATCTCCTTTAACATGTTGTTGTGGGTGCGTGAGAAGACAAGGTGGACCTGAGTTTGATGATATAATTTTTCATTATCTCCATTGGAATATGTGTTTTATACGTTGATAGTTTGATTAGCTTATGTGATATTGACTTGTGGATGTATGTTAAGTATGTTTTGAATATTTGATGATTGGTAGTTTGATTTTTTGAATTTTTCATATAGGACATATATTTACATATTTTTAATGTAAAAAATTGGGTCACCGAAGTGACCCCGTGATCCTTTGGTTAAACTCGTGACCCTTGATCTCGACTAAGTCGATGGTCGGGCCGAGTTTTTAAACACTGGTAAAAAGTACTAAAATCACAATTTTTTGATAGTCGATATTTTTAACTTTTGAAAAAAATAATTAAAATACTATTTTTTATTTAAAAGTGATTTTCAAAATATAAAATAATTTTGGTTTTTTAAAAAAATTAATCTAATTTTTGTTTGCATAAAATTATTATTTTTAAGTTCATATCACGTGAAAATTTTAATTCAACGGTTAATAATTAAAATGATCATTTTTTCTCTTTTGTGACCAATAATTTATCGATGAATGGATAAATTTTTTCATATGATATGTTTATGTTAAAGCAAAACATTATTAGTTTAGGGGATTGATTTTCAATTTTATTAAATTATATTTTGTTTTATTGTCAGAGTTCATTCATGATCTTCTTATTTAGTTTTATTCCATATTAAATCTTAAATTGATTTCGTCATAAGTCAAAATCAACATTAATATATTGAAAATAAACCGAATAAACCTTTAACTCGTGTTAACTAAAGACTTGCATTATTGAAATTAAAAATTGTTAAACGTGATCTCTTGTAATCCTTAAAAAAAAAAAAACAGTGTAGCACAACCTGTAAAGATGACCTAGTACAAATGGATTGGCTCGATTATTTTTATTTTTTATTGGACTATGAAAATCAAGCAATAGCCTGTTGTGTAATGTGTGATGTGCTATGATCACGGATACAGACACGGGATACGGGACACGATGCTGACACATTAATTTTAAAAAATGTCATACTTTGACATGTTGGGACACGTTTTGATATTAATTTTTTTTTAATATATATAATATAATTTATATTTAATACATATAAGAGTCCATAATAAGTCATATAACCAATCAAATATTTAAATTTCATAACATAAATATAAATATAAATAAATTTTCGTATTTTGTTAATTTTTCATATCAAATTTCATAATAGAAAAAAATTAATTTATAAATTATTTCTTTTATATTTAGTTAAAAAAATAAAATTAAGATTGTTTTTTTTTTTATAAAAAAACATGTCCGAGCGTTGACTGCGTGTCGGAAAAACGTGTCGGAGAGTTGACCGCGTATCCCTAAATATTGACCGCGTGTCCGACAAATTTTCCAATTTGGAGCGTGTCCGTCGTGATGTGTATTCTGATTGAAATATACTGTTAGCCAACAAAACAGTCTCTCTTTAAAAAAAAACAAAACAAAATTAAAATGAACGATATAAAAATCGGACTGATGATTGACCCAGTTACTGAATCAGTGGATCATTATCCAACTGAGTGGTTACAGGTTGAATTGCTTGATTTGAATTTATATGAAAGTATATAATAAATATTATTGTAATAATAAAATATCACAAATAACATGAGGGCTAGGTTTGAATCCTGGTAGGACCACATTGGGTGAAATGAATTTTTAAAAAACACCAAAACTGGTTCAACGATCAATTGGGGTTCTGATTTCCCGATAAATCGGCCGGTACGTTCTGATTTTGACAACATTGATTAAAACCTAATGGAAGTATACAAGTTATATTTAAATATTATAACTTTGAGGGAGGATTAATTTACATAAGTGTAAAAATAAGAAGCCTCATATCATATTGTCATATTTCTTACAACTACAAGAATATTGTCATATTATTTTGCACAAGGGATTACTTTTAAATATAAAATATTAGAAATGATACCTAATATTAAAAAAAATATTATAAAAAATAAAGTATGGTTGAGTCAACGCAAAATGTGATATAATCTCAAAAAATAAAATAAAAATACATTAGGTCAGACTGAAACACAAACCAATATCTTTGGACCAGACTAGGTCCTAGCACTTTTTTTTTGGGGTCAAATGGCCCATAGGGCTAAATTTTGTAAATTTGTAATAATAACGACATAATAAAATTACAGCTCTATACTGCTTACCAAAAAAAAAAAATTTTACAGCTCTATACTTGTCACGGTTTGTCCAGTGTATAAGAAATTAAGAACATAAAAGAATGGATACCCTTAAATTAAAATGTTATATTACCTTATTATACGAAAAATTTATATTTTTCTGTCTCCTCATTGATATTATATAAGTAAGATCCTATGAAAATTTGTAAATATTTATAAAAATAAATAAGTATAAAAAGTTTACACAATAAAATTATATGAAATTTTAGTAGGAAAGAATCCATTCCTAGGAACACAATTACCTCTAAAATATATCCTGAGATGGTAAAGAAGAGATAATTAAAACTATTCATTCACATATACATTTCCATTGTGCAAAAGAAGAATAGAATATAACCAATGCATCATGAATAATCACCACTAGCAGTAAACAAAATAGATACCCAAAACAGAGCTACGACAACATATTGTACTAAAAACATTTCTATGAACCAATGATTTATAGCATATAGGAACATATGAAACGGACTTAATATAGAATCTTTAACGCTGACCAAACTGTAAATTACATTAGAGGTGTGACTACTAAGTCGTGCTACTCGATTTCGTAGGAATAAATAGTAGATTACATGGAAAAAAAAACCAAAAATAAATATACCTCTCTAATTTACAAGAAAACTATGAAGCCGAGATACAACTGATGACACTTTTTTTGTTTTCTCGGTACTCGTTAATATGCTGATAATGGTAAGGATTGACATGACTTTGAACACTTAAGAGTACAATGATTTGAAGCCTTCTGTAAGAGGAACCACTTTCGCTGACACCTTGGACTGCAATTTTGATGCAGCTTGACGAATATCCTGAGTATGAAAAAAATAAAAATAAAAATAAAAATGCCTATTTTATTTACTGACTTGTTAAAGAGGCACAAAATTTTCTTTACATAATTATAAAAGTGGTACAAGAGGATATGCCCCTCCAAAAGGAAGGTCAAGACAAATTCACAAATCCTGAAGTTTTGCATCTAAATGGTACACATGCTGATATGAGCACTTGGGGGATGCATGTCCGCAGAACTAGTATAAAAGGAAAACTGTAGCATTACCTCTATATTGTATCTTGATGAAAAATGAGTCAACAGAACTGCTTTGTTGCGAATCCATTGAGCATTTTTGATGATCTACACAATGAACACACATTTACTAATCATGAATCTCCACGAGTAGAGTCATCATTTTGAGAACCAGTCAATCACAAGAATAAGCAGTGGGAATTTGTCTAGAGGTTCTAGGTTTTTATCTAGAAATGACATGAGATCGAGTAATAAATGCAATATGTTATATGACTAATAATCTATGTACTTGGTTCTTAGTTGCAGTCTAACTATTCTGTAAAATACGAATTTGGCCACAAAAATTTGTTGATAATAAAAAAGATTATGAAATGGCTATAAATTACAGGACACCTGACTTATACAAGATAGAAACATAAAAGAGGAAGCGCAAGCATGAGAGCTGCTAAAGTCATCTTGGTGTACCTTGATTTGTCAAGCTACCTATAAAGTAGCCATAACAGAATTAACGTCACATTACCTCAAATAGATGCGTATGACCATGTTGCCGAGCATGATCTATGCTGAATGATTCATCTAGGAAAGTTGCCTATTAAAAAAGTTTTAACAATCAAACAAAGTAAACAAAAAGGATAGAGTTAAGATAACAATAAAGAAGTAAGAAGTACGAGCACACTACAAAAAGAACAGCTATAGCATTTTTGAAAAGTTTTAATTATTTTTTTTCGAGTAAGCCAAGACCTAGAGTCTAAAAGTACTGTCAATACCAACTTAGGGGTCTCTAGTAATTCTGATATCAGCTACACAACAAAGAGGACAAACAATTGGTATACAATAAAAGCAACACTGGCACACAGCCAAAGGCAATTGCTTTCATTATACTGTTAGTTAATCTATAACTTGTCACAATTAATTGTGACAAAGAATGACTAGGAAAGGAGAAAAGGTAAAAGTTAAAGAAGGAGAAAAAAGAAAGAAGAAAGTCCCATATCACATTAAATTTGATCTATTTTATTCTCCTTCTTGTAACCTCTCACCTATTGTCCTTCTATCTTCACATTTGTATAAGGAAAGCAATTTCTTTTTTTAACTTCAATAAGAGAGGAATGGATGGCAAGCAGGAAATCCTTGTCTTTTTTCCCCTTCTCTATGGGATAAAAGCAGAATTAAGAAGAAAGGAAAGACTATAAACGAATAGGACAAGAAATCTGCCAGGAATACAACATACAGCGAAAGCGAGCAGAAAAATCATAACCAAAATACATAAAACAATAAGGCCCTGCAATGTCTTCGTAAACCCCTCAAAGAAAGAAACCCTGTATTATCAATAACTGAACACCATAAAAAACTATAACCTCATCCTTTACATTATTTGTTTTCTTTCCTTCCAATTCCACTCTGACCAAGCACAAATGAAAAGGGTTAACTGGAAATTCTCATGAAAATACCTCAAGTGGTAAAAATGATCAGTAAGAAAAAGACCCCCTTCTGGAAAGGAAACATTAGATTAGAAATTTATTTAATTTATGGAATGAGATAAACTTGAAGGCTGCTTTATGCTGCGGCTTCTTATATAGTTATATATTTTAAGATGCTGTCCCATATTTGAATTCTGAACTTCTATTACTATTGTCTATCTGTAAGGATTTCAGTAGATCATGATGTCAATTTTCAAAGTCGGCAACTCATTTCATTAAAAGATTGTGTTGTACCTCAGTTATAAGAATTTTGGCTCTCAATGCATCAGCATTAAGTGGGTCAAGCATAAAATCCGATGTTGTATCACCGGTGAAGGCCACCTCAGGTGATAATATAACGTCAGTAATCTACAAAGGAGAGTTCATTAAAAGTAAAGATCAAAGAAGATTTAAATCGGAATTGAGTTTCAGTTATTACAAACCTCAACACCTGACTTCTTTAATTTCTCAATTTGTTTTCCGTTCAGGTGCATGTACTGCTTCTTCAGCTTTTTCCTGATTGAGTAGACTACATAACCCTGCATAATACTACCACGTTAGCATTGCTCTTATTCTAGGAGACCTAAAAAGCATTCTTGTACTGTTCCAAGTATTAACATTAGATAAATCCAGATGATTACCATGGGGAAAAAATCAGTTAATAGGAGCTCGCTCATTCTCATTGTTCTCTATCTCTCTCTCTTTTAATATATATTTTAAACAATAAGATTCATGATTAAAATGTTTTATTATGAGAATATATCACACAAAAGAGATGTATAGAGTACATGAAAAGTACACAAAATAAACAACTAAAAATTAAAGCAAGTATGTGGCTTCAAGAGTCAAAACATGAGGATAACATTTCTCAACAAAATTTCAGACTGGAAATATCTGGCATCGAAAGACAACACCATAGATGACAACACAAATACTGTTCAAAAGCTTGAGATATGTTTTAATACTGATACAGTGATACTCATAATATTCCTCAGTTAAAAGACAACGGCTACAGAATGACCGCTTGAAAGATACCTGGCTGGGTATAACATGTTGAGTTCTGAATGGTCGGACAACAAGGTTATTCCGTATCTCATATGTCTCCCCTGAAATGAAACTTCACAAATCATATTTCATTGAAGAAAACCCCTGATCATTAAAGAAAGACAGAGACACATACCCACATCCAAAGCAACCAATTCAACGTTCAATTCAACTTGGCCCATTGTCTTGTGAATATCAATCAGCTTCTCAACATCCTCTTTGATGCAAGGAGGCACAAATACAGTGGGAGGTTTCAAATTGTATAAACCCCGGCTAGCTACATACATTGGCAGCCCTCCCTAAATCATTCAAAATCATCATGGGCTCATGCTAAGTGTACACTCAACATCCAATGTACAAGGGACAGAGAAGGCATAAAGCTCACCAACAAAGTACTAGGATGCAAAAACACATTCACAAATCACAACAAATAGTGAAGACTGAAAAGAAATGCCAGCATTAGATTATCTAAAGTTCTAAACTGTTCTTAATATGCTATCAATGTTAATGCTTACAACCATAAACAGACCTATGTTCTGGTAGGAATAGTTAGGTTTTTCAGGTCACAAACTGTATGTTAATCAATAATGAATTTGGCTTTTCTATCAATAATCAATATCTTTAGATAACTTGGGCTTTGTGTAATTTTCTTCTTTTTTCCCTTCTACTAATCAAAAAGCAAAAAGAAAAATAAACAAGAACATCACTACACAAAAGTGGAGGAGCTTACAATGTGATCAAGATGAGCATGAGTAATAAAAACGAAGTTTTGATGAATAGCTCTGGTTGGGCACCTCCCAATATCGAAAGTGCACTTGAATTCAGGGATTATGATACAGGTCTCTTGACCTCCAATTGAAAGACCCTCTATAGAATAACCTTCCAAGTCCAAACCTTTACGTAAAACCTGTGACCGGGCTATCCTGTACTGTTCTTCGTGATCAATAGCTTTGCTGATTTCGGATAAATACCCCGACCCTTTAAGGGCATTGACGTGGGTTTGCAATGAAACTTGGTGGTGGTTAAGTAGCTTTTGAGAGAATATGGGTTGGTGAAATGGGAATATTTGAGGGGTCTTGAAGGCTGAATTGCTAAGAGAAATTTGCATTATTACCTGCTGAAATCGAACAGAGACAGAGAGGGAGAGATTCACGAGGGTTTAAACTGGGTTTTGCAAACGTTTGTGTCTGTCTGAACCACCAGTTGATGGCATGGTGTTGGAGGATAAGGTTAAGTTGCAAAACAGCCGTTTTGACTCTTTACAAATTAATTTCATTTTTAAATTTTAACAAAATGTTTTTTTTGATGACTTGATGTAGTTTTTTGTTTTTATTTTGGTACAGAAAGGGTTGATATAGTTGTTATTACAATCATTGTTTAATTACAAAGTTACTATTGCCTTTTCTTTCTTTCTTTTTTCTACATAATTATTATTGTCATTTCAATTTCTCATTTTAAAAACTCGAAGAAATTTTTTTATATTTTTTTCGGAATTCACATGATTTTAAAATATATTTCTTAGAAAATATTTTTTTAGTGAAAATCAACTAAACATGTTTAGTGATTTTAACCTTATTTTGCTTTTATTAAATAAAAACAAAACAGAAATTACGAGTATAATAATTAAAAACTATAATATTTATCATTAAGGCCGATCAAGATTATATATATCCTAAATGTGATGATGATTGTTAATTTGTCAATATAGCATATTATGTCTGCTTTTTTTATTTTATTTATTGTACCTATTCTTTTTTCATACTTTGTCGCTTCTCTTCATATTTTAATCTAAGAATATTGAGAATGAATAGGTAAAATAGGTATGTAAAAAGATAATCATAATAACCTATCCCAAATAAGAATTAATAGACTTCAGATTCAACTCCTTGGTGACAAAGAAGAAACGATGAAAATATTCATTTCCGCATTGCTGAGGCTCAGAGACTCAATTCCTCGGTGGCAAACCAGAGAGTGTTTTATGCAGCACATCGAATTTTATGTACCCAAAATTAACCGCAACCCAAGAAAGAAAAAGAAAAGGACAGTGAGAGTGAGAGTGAGAGTGATTCTTGATGGTGTCTAAAGGATGTTGCTTCCATCCTTGTATCATATGACAATTCTATTCTGCAATTGAGCTAAAGCTTCACCTTTACATCTTCCCTCAAACTTCTTCCATTCTACTGATAGTCATTTTCCCCACTTATATTGACTTTTTGGGTGTCCAAAATCCAATATCATTCCACAATAGGGAAAGCAAATCAACTTGTTTTATATGATGTTAAGACTATTTATTCAGTGTATTGATCCGTAAACCAGAATTTGTTGGAGTTGAGATGTGCAGGCTACACGGCAGGTATAATTTTCACTACTAAACCTCAATTTACATGAGAATTCATGGTGCCACTACTTGTATCAAAGTCTGTATTTTGTACACCATGGCGTGATGGTTGCACAATTAACAAAAGAAAGAAGATTGCACAAGTAGACGTATCATCTTGAATTCTGATAAGGAATATTTACAATCCATTTACAAAACACTTTTTATCTACTCAATTAATTTGAAGAAAAACTTGTCTGATTCTGCAACTGCTACATCACTGCAAACTGCGATTCTTGAAGTTGACAAGATTACCTCCGCATTTTGTAAGATGAAACCATGAATGATGGGCAAAGGTAACCCTTTACTGAGATGTGCATTTGCATACGGCAAGAAGACAGTTTCAATAAGCGTCCATACAAAAGGCTGCAGTAGGAAAGCATAACACACCTTTATCAATTGAAGAAGTTTTAAATTTTTATTCACTATATACATTATATACAACACAAGGGCACCTGAATCAAGTACATCCGCAGATTGCCAATATTGCTCCATTTCAATGACATTGAAAAGTCATCCAATCTGACAGCACCTACGAGGTTGTTACCATTGATTTTGATAGAACCCGAAGCTTGAATTACCTGTGCAAACAGGATGTAGTATAGAAATAGTGGTCATTGTAAAGGATCAATATTACAACCACAAACAAGAAATGACAATTTATTGTAAGGTGGACACAGATGAGAAGAATGCCAAAATCTGATGAATAATGGAAACTCTGGCAGCAGTAGAAGACAGGATTAGGATACGGAGGGTGGCACTACTATGGTACCATAATTAAATTATAGGGGTTAGATGGAAAAAGAGAAGAGACTCTAAATAGTTGGCATCTGATGATTATATGGTGTGTTATGTGATGCAAATTGCAAACCACTAATTATCTACACTACTAATTAGTAGTTCAACTAGTATAAGCATGGCCCTTGTACTAACATCATAAGATTCTAAAGACAATAAGAATCCTAATATTCTGACACAGTTCACCACTCTATCTTAGCTTTAATTTTTTTAAGCCAGCTATACCATCATAATGTGCCGTCTATCCACCAGTGGTGTGCATAGTGTCTGGATAAAATATATTCCATGCACAATTACTAATACTAATAAACCTATACAATTATGATAAATTAGCAAGTCTTTTGTAACAAACAGCCCCAAAATCAAAACTAAACTAAACTGCTAAAATGATTAGGTCTTTAAACTCAGCCTTTCTTGATGCAAGTGTATCCTACATCACGAATGTAAGGGAAACCATAATTATTCTAGTTTTTAACAGGTAATTACTGTAGTTGAAGCTATCATTGATAGCAATCCCAGAAACTGATAACTATTCATGAGTCTGAAAATGAAAATTATACAGGGCAAACACAAACAGTCTCTGTAACCAAAGCAGCCCAGGACTGTGGACAAGGCAATCCAGCGGAGTGGAAGATTGATTAGCTAGGTTCTTGGATGAATGAGAGTATTGACAAAGCTGATATGGATTAGCTTCCTGTTAAAGAAAAAAATAATAATGTGTAAAAGTGGGGTGCTCAAAGTTGTACAATTAAGGTTTTAGAATAGAAAAAGGTTTTTGTTCAAAAGCTTCACATTGCATGCAGAGCTCCATTTTACATCCACAACAACCATAGAATTCATCGTAAACAAAATAATATCGAGTATAGAAACACCCAAGTAATATTCAGAATGGTGATAGAAAAAGCATACACATAAATAAATTATGACAATAGATGTAATTGATTTAAATATTAATGATCCTACCAATGAGATGCATGCCACTGGTATTACTTTATCTTCTTCCAAAACATCAATTGTTAAGTCTGCAAATATGACGGAACCAGCTTTCTGATTTGAAATTTCCACAACTGGAGGAGAAGATAAAGATATATTCAAGTTCATGTCATGATTTGGGTATTTCTTGTACAGCTGGGGAACAACAAATCTCCATTCTGCAGTATTCAATAGAGATTGATCTGGTACTTGGTCCACAACCCAGTGCATAAAGTTTGCCTGAACACAGAAAGCAATTTCTCATTTGACACCAATCTAATGATACACAACCATTTTAAGAAAATCCATGCTTTTAAGACCATGACCAAACATCCAAACTTACATCATAATACAAGGCTGAAGCAGAGTTAAAAACAGCTTCATCCAAAGTGATTCCAAGCATTTTGGATGAATTTGTGCAGAGAATTGGAAGTTTTGAGTTCTTGTGGCTGAGGCTAGGAACAGGAAGCAAAACACTTCTTTCTCTAAATAATCCATTGGTTTCAAATTGGATAGACGAATCACTTAATAAAACATCATTGACAAAGGTTACATTCAAAGAAGCATGATCATTGACTGGAACCTCGTTTGGAAGACTTCTCAAATATGATTCAACTCTTGAAATCCCTTCTTTAAGTTTCTTGGTAATAGCATTTTCTACTGTTGACCCAATTAGCCCTTCAAAAGCATCAACTATCCTGTTAGATATGAAGCAAAACTAAAAGTTATAAAAACCATATAATCATATTATTTGCCAGACAAAAGTGATAAGTCAATATGTGAATAGAGGATGATAAAAACTCAACATGCTGGAAGCCTCCAAATATTGTTTACTTGAAAATTACAGAGTTCATTAACTAGAACAAGATAGATCCTATGATGTACTTTCTCCCTATTTCAAAAAATATCATGTTTGAGTGAGGATTTATCAAACTAGCTGCAAAAAGTTGGAAATTGTACGAGAAAAAGATCCTCCTGATGGTGATCTTAGGTATAGTGTTTCTAGGCCATAAAAAAATGACCAGTGTGACGTTGATTACAGAGTGAAGATTCTTTCAAGAGCACATGATTTGAAATTGTGGATATGATAATTATCATATTCAGTGTATATATATGCCTTCCACATTTTAAAGTCAAACCTATTTCAAGTTGATACATTCTTCAATAAATGTTTCATCATATTGTTCTCTGCTTTTGAGAATTATTTTCAGTTGAAGGAGAACCTGAAGAAAACAAGAAGAGATTCCGCTAGATAAGAATGACAGAAAATTCCTGATTAAGATGAACACGCTAGCTAATGAAATTTCTCCAGATGTTTTTTGTACTGGAGGACTTTATTTGTGCTACAGCCAGAGGCGGAGCCAGGATTGTTAAATAGGGGAGGCGAATTTTTTTTTTTATATATACCAACATGTAATAAACATTCAGAAATTTAGTACCACCAAATCTAGATTTTGTCCACTTAATTTTTCATCCAAGAAATGCCAAGCTTATTGAATAAAACACCAAATCTAGAGTAGCCATTAGAATTGATCTAGTGAGGGATTTTGGTAGGTTAGATTATGTGTTCAATTCCCAGTTGTATTAAAAAAAATGATCGAAATGATGTTTTAAAAAAAAAAATAAGAAATATAAATTTTAGTACTATATACTCTTGTTAAGTAGCAGGGTTAGGACAAAAGAAAACACAAACAATAACCACCCTCACACACCACAGAATTGACAACAGGAATAGTAAAAAAAAAAAGAGAGAGTAAAACAACCTTAACAAGATATACAATAATCCCGTGGTTTATTTTATTACAAGGTGAAATTCACAGGCATATTGCCATGGTAGAATTAATGTTGCTAAGTACGAAGCAACAAACAAAGAAGGGATAGTAGAAAACTATTATACAAAATAGAAAAAGCTTAAAACTCAAACGTGACAGCATATACACACACAGCCACCACTAGAGTCTTCAACCAAAACAAAAAACTGCGGAGTTACGCATAATTATGAGTATCTACGAACTATACACACATAGCCTTTATCATAATATATATTTACTAAAATCAGTGCTTTCAGAAGAAGCCTTCAATGTTCTAGTCTCCATAGCCATATCCACCTCCAGAGCGACCATCACGTCCATACCCTCCACTAGAACGATCTTCATGCTCATTCCCATATCCACTTCCAGAACATTCATCTTCATAACCACCACCAGAACGTTTTAAAAAATCATTCTATGTATTGTTAAAAAATTTCATCAAATTCAGGGGGGGCGGTCGCCAACCCCTAGCCCCCCTCCCTCCGCCTCTGGATACAGCAAGTCCCATGTTCATAGAATATGGTTGTATTGTTACATGCATAGACACCAAATAGCCAACCAAAAGATAAGTTCGGTGGCCATTTTAGGTCATATGGTTAGTCCAAGCCCCACATTGATTCAATATGCTTAGATTATGGCATAATCACCTAATAGCCAAGTACAAGATACTATGGTCTAGCCCTTTGGCCATGAGGCTCACTCTATTCCTAGTGTGTTGTCTTTGGCCAGTTGGACTATTTGGTAATGCTGCAAAGTGCAAACTAGCAGAGGGTTTAAGCACTAAAACAACCTCAGAACAAAGTGGTTGCATACAGCTTGTTCTGGTGAGCTATAATACTGTTAACACTATAATATTCATAAATGCAGAAGATATAGAATTTAGACATTAAGAATATACCATTGGGAAGGAAAACTGAGGCATCTACATTTAAAAGGAAGAAAGATAATTGGCTGTCAACACAAGTTCAATAAAAGCAACAAAGGATACAAGAAATATGAAATCTAGAATCCTTTATGAGCTAGAATCAAATATGGATATTGTCATACCCTTGATAAAGCAGAGATGCACCTCCATCCAATTTTATTGAAATAGCTTCAACATAAGATCTGCAGTCCTTAAGTTTCAGCTCTAAAGATCCTTCCTGGTTCTCCAAACCCAATGTAAGTCCGACTTCCATGCCTTCAACCTATCCAGCAGTAGCACTTATCAAAATCCTTTTTTATTAAAGTCGTGAAAAAAGATGAACGGATAGAAACAGTAACAGTAGTAACAAGAAATAGGTATCTTTTTGAGCCCATGCACACAAGAATAATCACAGATAAGGAAATTAACTTAATATAAAATAAGTAAAACAAGAATACCACATACAAGTTCCATACCGAGTGCTACAGTGCAGTTTATCATTAAATAAGTTAACATCAGTAGATACCAAAACCCACAATAGAAAATGACACGGTATCCTTCAAATCACAAAGCATCCAATTTGCAACAGCGCCTCTTTAAATTTCAACTAACAACAAGCAACAAGTGAACCAAAGAAACCAACCCTCCTCCATAAAGAGATTATGTTCTAATAATAACACAATTTTGCTACTTAACAAAGCATCATTCTTTACATAAATACATGAATTCATTTTCTTACCTGAACTTGTGCTCTACCTTTGTCAGAAATCTCAACAGGCCCAAGCCACGTACTATAAGAGTAATACCAATTCATGCTCAAATTACAAGTAACCCCAGAAGCTAAAATTGAAATCCCAGTCTCCGCAGGCTTGACATGCGAAGAAGGAACGTCGATTTGGTATATTGTGATGTTGGAAAGCACCATGTAGACATTACCCACAACTGGGATTTTCGCAGTCTTTTCAATATTCGGCAATCGGAGTGAGATTATTGAGGAAATTGCCTCGTTCACCAGCAAGTCTTTCACAAAATCAAGGCCACTCTGGGTAATCAACAAGGATATAAAAGCTTGGTCTTTAGGTTGAAATTGAGCATACCCATGATTCAAGGAAGAGGCTAATAGAAGCAGAATAAAGAAAGGTGCCATTTTGATTTATGCTTAGCGAAAATTGGACTTGTTCATCTTTCGCAAGGACAAATGGTAACTTAGGGAAAACTTAGGTACAAGGAAAACTTTCCCAAGGCTCAAACTCAAAACATTTGTACATGAAAAGTCAAAATTGCCCATCCTTGTCTTTGCCTTTTTCTGGTGGGTGACCCAATTCCTTCACAAATCATGGTGGCCTCATGGGTTAAAACCGTTAACAGATTTGACACTGGAAATTCAGTTAATGGTTAAATACTGTGGTAGTAATTAAATATTGGATGTTTAAAAATTGTTATTTGGGAAGCTTAGCTCTCAATTATGATTTTTGTTAGTGGAAAACGAAAAAGTACCTTCTTGTTGTTCAGTTATACATGTGCCTAAATGATGCAATTCAAAACAAGAAGAGGAATAACCACAAAATGAAATAATATGTGGAGGGCGGAACCTTTCATTCGTGATTTATCCACGAACTTGTAATTTTAGTTTTGGGACTTATATAGTATAATTGATGGTAATGCTATTATATTTTCATGGAAAATTTATTATTTAATGCACAATATACCTGTGCGTTTTATCCTCAGATTTGACAACTAGCTCAAGAGATAAGAGTTGAGCTTCTCCATGCCTTTAACCATCTTGAATGGCAATTCCTCCTGTACAGATACGTTGATTGAAATCTATTGCAAGTTTTACTCCAAGAAACGGGTTTTTTTTATATTTTTCTTTCCTTTTCTCCTCGGTGGTGATACTAAATATAAGAGTTGAATCATAATACTTAGTTTACAGCTCAGTTGCACGGTTTATCTTTCTTTCTTCATTAAAAGTACTAAAGTTAGAGGTTTTCCTTAATACTAAGGTTACTGTTAATTACCAACAGACAAGAGGCATTCATTGTAATCCTTGTTATATTAAACTACACAACATTGGTGCTATTATATAGCAAACCAATTGAAGAATACAAAGAGACACACTCAATGTGGGACTATACAAAGAGACACACTCAATGTGGGACTTCTATACTATATACAGCAACACTTCCCCTCAAGCTGGAGCATATAGATCGTATGCACCAAGCTTGTTACATATTTGGTCTATCCTAGGTCCTCTCAAAGACTTAGTAAATACATCAGCTAATTGATCATTTGAGTTGACAAAATGAGTGACTATATCTCCTGAGAGAACCTTTTCCCTAAGGAAATGACAATCTATCTCAATGTGCTTAGTCCTTTCATGAAACACTGGATTTGAAGCAATATGCAAAGCAGCTTGATTATCACAAATGAGAGATGTTGGGCCAGTGTCTCCAAACTTGAGTTCCTTCAGTAGCTGTTTTAACCAGATGAGTTCACAGGTAGCTGTGGCCATGGAGCGATATTCTGCTTCAGCACTTGATCTAGCAACTACACTTTGCTTCTTACTTCTCCAGGAAATCAAGTTATCTCCAACGAATACACAATACCCAGAAGTGGATCTTCTATCAATAGGAGAACCTGCCCAATCAGCATCTGAGTATCCTACAACTCTGGTATGACCTTTGTTTTCATAGAGAAGACCTTTGCCAGGAGCAGTCTTGATGTACTTGAGGATACGGATTACTGCATTCCAGTGATCTTCACAGGGAGAATTCAAGAACTGACTTACTACACTGACTGCAAAGGAAATGTCTGGTCGAGTAACTGTGAGATAGTTCAGTTTCCCAATCAATCTTCTATATCTTTCTGGATTAGAAAATAGCTCCCCCTGATTTGGTATAAGCTTGACATTTGGATCCATAGGAGTATCAACGGGCTTAGCATTTAACAATGCTGTTTCCTCAAGAATATCCATAGCATATTTTCTCTGTGATAGTACAATGCCATCTTTGGATTGGGCCACTTCTATCCCTAAGAAATATCGGAGTCTTCCAAGGTCCTTTGTTTGAAAATGATGGCACAAATGTTGTTTTATCTGAGTTATGCCATGAGTATCATTACCTGTAATGACGATATCATCAACATATACTACCAAATAAATAGAACCTGAATCAGAGTGTTTGTAAAAGACTGAGTGATCAGCCTCACTTCGAGTCATGCCAAACTGTTGTACAACAGTGCTAAACCTTCCAAACCAAGCCCGGGGAGACTGCTTTAGACCATACAAGGATCTTCGGAGACGACAAACTAGGTTAGACTCTCCCTGAGCAACAAACCCAGGAGGTTGCTCCATATAAACCTCTTCCCGCAGATCACCATGGAAGAAAGCATTCTTTATGTGGAGCTGATACATAGGCCAGTGATGAATGACTGCCATAGTAATAAAGAGGCGAACAGAAGTCATTTTCGCCACGGGAGAAAATGTGTCACCATAGAAAAAACAGGCGGGTCAGCCTTTTGAGAACCCTTGGATGCATCGTGGGGTGACAAATCAGCCATAGATCACCTGAAACAAAAGCAAACAGCAACCAAAAGCAAAGAAACACGTGTGAATAGGAACCAGCAAGAGAAAGAGACACTGTCGGAAGCCGAAACGAAGTCTGAACAACAAAGTGAGGACAGATCCAGGTGCGCAAGGAGAAGACGAGTTGAACCGTGGTGGTCGGAGGTCCAGCCGGAGCTGCACGCGCCTCCACGCGCCGCTGCAATGAAGCAGACGGCAGAAGCTTCCTCCCGCGCGTGTGGGCGCGTGGCTGAGGTGTTGGACAGACAGGACCGCCTTGTTGTGGCGGTCAAATTGATGGGAGTTTCGCCGGAAAAGTCGCCGGAGACGGTGGTCAACGGTGGTTCTGGACAGCGGCAGTACTCAGACAAGGTCAGAAACAAAATAGGGAAGCCGGAAACTGACAGATGTGACGGTTTCTGAAAAAAAAAATATTACTCAGCGAACACTGGTCCACCGAAAAACCGCGGATTAGGATTCCTCTTGTTAAGCTCTAGATACCATGTTAATTACCAAGAGACAAGAGGTATTCATTGTAATCCTTGTTATATTAAACTACACAACATTGGTGCTATTATATAGCAAACCAATTGAAGAATACAAAGAGACACACTCAATGTGGGACTATACAAAGAGACACACTCAATGTGGGACTTCTATACTATTTACAGCAACAGTTACTTAATGCTTCAGCTCGGCAATCTTAATTGAAGAATGTATTAAAGGGAGAGAACAAATGGGACAGGGATTGGGTTTTCGGCAATCATAATACTTTTGTATGATAAGGGCAAATCACAGTGTACAAGCCTCCCTATCATGATGGTAGGGGTGGGGTGGATAGTATGGAGTTTCATCCTTGTATTTTTGCAAAGAACATGTTTCCAAACACTTTTGTATGATAAAAGTACGCAAAGTTGGATGTTAATATTCAGCATTTAATTTCTCAGTGGAAAAATATATTTTAGTGTCCTATCAATATTAAACTAATTGTGATTATATTGCATTTACTGCTTAAGAATGGATGAATTCTTGAAAAGCAAATCATCAGAACAACCATCTCTTTCCATGCACTTGATAATATGTACTGAAGAGAAATTGTACACATAAGAGGATGGAATCAAGAATCTACAAGAGAATCCAACCATTACATCTCAACACCAGACACACAAGTTGACTTTCTTTTTCATTTTCTTTTTTTTTTTGGTTACACACATAAGTTGACTTTATTTGGCAGATAAATGTTGGAATTTACACATCAGAAGCTTTGGAGGTGCTAAATGTCATTTCTGTTTTGCTTCCTAGTTGCTTTTGTTTTTGCTTAATATCGTTGCTAGCATTGTTTGAACCATCTCTCTTGCCTACCTGGCGGAACATAAAAATTATATTTAGAAGACAGTGGTGATGGACATATACAAGCAAGTGAAGCAACATACTCATGCATATTAATGACAGCTTTCATGATCATGACTAAATCTAATTAAAAATCATTGTGAGGAAGGAAATATTGAATACACAAACATGAATCATGAATCATGAATTTGTTATGCTTGACTTGGATGGCTTGTGAACTAATGAAGAGATTCTGAGTCTCTGACCTTTGGCTGCTCTTCAGGGAATTGATAACTTGGCACTGTTTTCCGCCTTGACACAGTTCTCCTAGCTTTAAAGTTGGTCTTCGCTGTTGGTGGTTTGAAGCTAACTTTTTCTTCTCTTGAATTTATTGATAAGTTATCAAAATGAAAGGGCACTTCATTTGACCCACAACTCTCTTTTTCTTCCCCAGCAGTATCTAAAAATCTTGTCTTGATTGTGAATTTGTGATTACTGATAAAAGGGTCATACTGCTTCATAGCATGGCTTTCAACTGATGAGGTGTCTGGAAGACGGGTTGCCATCCACCGTTCAAGCCAGCTCCAGCTCATATTTGATTCCATGCTGTTATATTTTGTTGATTTTCTCTTTGAACAAATTCGTAACTGCAGCAACCAGGATTAGTGTTTTGTTTCTTGCCATATCCTTTCCATACATGAAATAGTTTTTGATGTTTACCTGTTGTGAGAAAGCATAAGCTAGTGCTCTTTCCCTCCTGGTTGTTGCCTCCATTCTGTTCTGTCTCCTCATTTTTGAAACATAGCTACTCACGGTGCTGTCATCCCAGTCATCCTGATAATGTCTATGTTATTATGCAGCTTAAGAGAATTTTGATTGATGGTGAATTATTGCCAATTTGATGGATACTAATTAAAGTTCAGACTCTTATAAATGCTTCAACAATGTGCTATATGTAATATCACCCCTCTTTTTTGTGAATATGTAACATTACCCTTTGAACCATGTTATAACATGCTGTTTGCAATGCTATTGATCCATATATAAACACAGGCCTCGTTTCTATCACTATATACCTAGCATCTTAACAATCCTTGCGTGCTTTTAGCATGTTGACCTGGTTACTCAAGTTAACATGTCGACCTTGCTTTACATATTTTTAACCACACTAGTTGTTCTTTTTCTCTTTTTTAATTTTTGAGAAAATATTAACCACTCTTTTGGTTAATCATCTGAAGTTTAAAATATGATTGGGAAGATGCCTTAAATGGTAATTCTCTCTAATTTCTTTGTCCTTGTCTTCTGTTCAAGTGACTCATTTATTTTTCTCTTCTAACCAAAATGAAGTGCTAGTTCACAAAGTAACATTGTCTTCTGTTATACTTATACCTTTTGCTTTATTGCTTGAGTTCTGGTCCTGCGTTGAATACGCTGGTAAATGCTCATTTTTTCTCCTTCAACCGAGAAAACTTCCGTGGAGTTCCCAGTTTGGACTTCAACTGATGTGCCCATGGACTTGCTATCTGGACTTTCTGTTACTAAATTGAGCTCTTCTTTACCAGTTTTCAATCTGATTTCTTCATTTTGACGCCTAAGCTGAAATGTGCAGTACACTAGTGATGTGTTAATAAGCAAGAAATATTCCTTATGCAAGGGTAAAACATACTATGAATCATATGAGTATTAAATATACCGTTATATTCTATAATTCTAGCCAGTAAACATTGACATTTTAGCAATTAAAAATTTAAAAGGGGTGAGAGGATGGGAATGTGAGAAATAAAGGGGAACGATGAAAATTGACATTGTTGCAGAAATTGTCATTCTCCTCCATTCTCTCTTCAGTCTAGCAAATTTCATTCATATCATGCACACACTTGAACTCAGCACAAGCAACCTTTAAGTTAAACACATGAATATGTGCTCAAATATTTACTTTACTTTCATGAAAATTGATGTGATTAAAGTTTGGTGAGCTAACCAGGAAGCCTCTATATGCTGATTGAATAAGAATAGCTGCTTCTTCCTCATTCAATAATTTGGTGTTTGAATTTGGCCTTTTCTGTGTTACATTCTCCACAGTTTCTTCACTCTTGGTGTCTCCTTTATCAGTCAACTCCTCGGGTATTGGCTGTGTAACCGTGGCTTCAGAGCTCTTAACTGAAGCTGAATCTTCCTCTGCAAGGACTGAATTGAACTCGTCGCCACACAAGTACGATCTAACAGATACCCATCTTCTATTTTCCACAGTATTGCGTCTCACCTGTTAGCACACCAGAATTCAAAGCTGGTTTATTCATGGACTCTAGTTAAGAGCAATGAATGATAACAGCATTGGAAGTAGAAAATTTTAGCTAACAGAACAGTTTTATGCTAATTCTGTAGTAGATAACAAGAAAAGCATTAAGAGAAGAAAGAAATAGAGAAGCTATAGAACTTGACAGACACTCACTTTGCTTTCATGAGACCCAAAAGAACGATTTTTGGAGAAGACACTTCTTACCAACTCCATCTCAGTTTAGATCCCAATGAAGTTATTGTCCACAACTATATTAATATGCCAATGCACATATAGTGGAGGACACTAGCTAACTACATCATTAGAATTGGATAAAGTATAAAAGGCAAGTGACATTCTTACTTGTACACACAATATTATACATTAAATAAAGTTGTATTTTAAGGTTACACGAAACTACTAGGCTTTATATCTAGAGAGAAACCACATGTTCACTAGAAATAAGTTTTTGATCTCATGATCTGTCTGCTGAGCCTTGCAGAGCTGGAATGGTACCACTAAATCTGAAAATATTAGAAGCTGGAAAGTTAAAGAAAGATTAAAGTGGATGGATTTGAGTGCATGTTTTTATTGCTTTAGCATCATATACTTTTTGCACATGGCTTGCAGTGGATAGGCTTTCATAAAGCTTGCTTGTTACTGGGGTTATGTCTTTCCCTTTCTGGTTACTGCTTCCTCTGTCCTTGGGGTGGCTTTTTTTTTTTTATGTTACTTTAGTTTGATGCCAGTAGCTTTGGGGACAGGTTAGGAAGCCATAAAAAATTTCCAAGGATTCTTCACTGTCAATTTTCAAATGCTTTTGCAGAGTATTGCTTTATTTTTTTGGATGAACACATTTAGTGGCATAGTTACAATATGTGACATGTTCTTAAGTCACGATTCAAGTTTTTTCATGTGGTGTGCCTTTCTTTTATGAGCAAGTTGATGGAAAGCCTAAACGAGTTAGGACCTCGTGTATGGTATGGTGGAGTGAACTGAACAAACGCATGGAATAAAGGATTTATTTTCTTTTCTGAAGCTTTTGCTTAAGATTGTTAAGTAAAAATACAAATCAAAAAGAGGTGTAGAGGGTAAAGGAAGGAGGTAGTATTCAAATAGCTTGACCTAATGAAAATGAAGTTCAATACTGATTTTTTAGTTTGAAAAAGTTTAGAAGTGCCATAGTTTTAACTAAAAAAATATCAAAAATGAAAAAGTAAACCTAAATCCTTTAATAATGAAAAAGTCTTAAAGACAGTTCATACGATAAGGGCAAGTTTGCATGACCTTGGTGATCCGTGAATTTTGTATTTATATATGAGCAAAAAAAGTTAAACAAGGCATGTTAGTTGTTTTATATACTAAATAATTCTTATTTTTATTCTATTGAACCATGTTATCTAAAATGATTATTTTTGAACCGCATGCATGTGGGCAACACATTGGGGATGCAATTTGTTGTGCCATTCCATCTTTCTTGCAAAATTGTGAAATATAAAAGTCAGCATGTGCAGCACACTAAAGAGCGTGGACTTTCTAACTATTTCCCCTTCGGGTTCGAGGCTTCTAGTTCTAGGTGCCCTTAGAATCGTGAAGGTCTAATAGATAGCTAGCTAGTATCAACGACGGACAGGAACAAATCTTCAGTACAACGGGGTAAGTACATTTTTACTAAAATGAAAAAAAAAATAACGATATGGAAAACAATAACCATAAAGATAAAATTAAGGTAAATATATTATTTTTTTCATATTTGATAAATCATGTATGTACTGAGTGGTCGATATATTTCGTATATGAAAATATTTTCGACGAACAGGATGTATATGCATGCAAGAATTTCTCGTATATGATTCGACCAAAATATTATCTTTTGGTAAAAAATATACTCAAATGACACGCAAACAGTATTTTTTACCAGACTGTCATGTAAGCATAATTTGCTACGACCGGTAGCATATTATGTTCACCAATAATTTTATGACACGTGACACACTTTCACAGTAAAAAACTGACGTGTCATAATTCATTACTATTGACAGTGAATTTTGTCTGCAATATAACTATGTGTCACAAAATTATTGGCCACGAAATTCGTTACTAGTGATAGCGAATTATGACACGTTGCAGTCTGGTAAAAAATATTATTCACATGACATTGAGATAAATTTTTTGATAAAACATGACATTTTGGTCCCAAATCCTATGATCCTCCTTATAAGTGGTTCAGCCAATATTCAGCTTCACTGGCCACCCTAATCACGTGGAAATTATTGGAGACAATGCCATTTTTTCTCTTGCTTAATGGGCTGTGCGCTATTCTTCCGTTTCATCTTTCACCTTTGACTTTTTATATTTTGTTTTGTATAAGATGGTATTGCTTAGCAAATAATATTAATTAAAGTTACAACAACATTAAACAAATATACAAATACACACAAAAATTTGAAAAAAAAAATTATACGATTTCATATAATTTTTATTCTCTTAAAAATTTCGACCGAAGCTGTTGTGCACAAAGCGTTGCAACTTGATATGATATTATAATTAAGCCATAAAACACCGACACTTCAAGAATCCTAACGTGTCGTGTTCGACACTTCCTGACACTCATCGACACCTTCCGACACTCCAATACTCATTGCAAAGACTCAAAAAATTTCAAAGGTCACGTTGCGTTGCATTTTGAGTTCCAACTATTAGATTCGTTAGATTACGATTACGATTTTATTGAGTTTAATATAAATATTTGAGATATATTATGTTTTTTTCCAAAACTGATGAGTATTATAAATTTAGCTTTTTTTTGTTAAATTATTGAATACTAAATATAATATACACTACATAAATTAAAAATATTATATAATATCAAAACGTGTCCTAACGTGTCAAAATTTAACATTTTTTAAAATTAACGTGTCAGAGTGTCGTATCGTGTCCCGTGTTAGTGTCGGTGGAACATACTAATTAAGCAACTAGTTGTGTGAAGTTATTGCAGCACTTTCGTCCTTACTGCTTGAGTTTACTTCCTTACTATTGTTGAATTTCAACTTGATCGTACTCTTCAGACACTTTGCTAAGATCAATAAGAAAATAAAGTTAGCTGATAGCCATCGATTTCACAGAGATCGAGGATAATTCATGAATCAAGATTTATTTGTTTTATTAATTCCTTCCTTTTTACTGGAGACTCTAGATCTATCATACACATAAAATTATCGTAGTTATAAAAATTTGTCAAATATTTGCAAGCTATTAATTTTATTATAAATGTTTGAAAATTCATTACATATTAAGCAACATGCAATATATATTTAATATTTGATCTTCTATATATTGATTTATTTTTTTTAAAAGCATTAGAGTAAATTTTTTTTTTTTTGGTATGCATTAGAGTAAATTTTTTATTTTATACTCATAGTGGAAAATTAGGTCTTTTTTGTAATTAAAATATTTTTGATAGGAAATATAAAGTTACTATGTAACCTATCGATCGACCTTATAATATGACCATATATTGTGTGAACGATCTCATTAATTAATGGATCAACTTATGTCTGAAAGAATTTATTATTCCATAACAAATCAATGAAAAATAAGAAATAATTATTTTAATTATTAACCATTGACTTATAAATGAATGACTGAAATTTCTCACATAAAATAGTCATGTTAAAACAATATATGAGAAAATATATTTCTTTTTACGGTTTGATGTTTGTTTTTGTCATTTTAAGTGAGAGAAAGACACACAAGCAATGAAAATCATAAGAGAAGAAAGTTAGTATTTTTTTTGGGTTTAATGTTTTGTCCTTTTAAAGGACATAGAGTTATGTCATTTCAAGTAAGAAAAAGACACAAGTAATAAAAATCATGGGAGAGAAAATGAGTATTTCTTTTTTAAATTTAAATTTAAAATAAAAAAATTAGGTTGTGTCTTTCTCTTACTTAAAATGACACAACTATATGTCCTTTAAAAGAACAAATATTTTTTCTATTTTTTTAATTTAAGTTTTAAATAAAAATATATTAGTTTGTATCTTTCTCTCACTTAAAATGACACAACCTTATATCCTTTAAAATAATAAATATTTTTTTCCTTCTTTTTTATATACTTTTAGTAATTTAAGTTTTGGTTAATATTACTAAGGAAAAAGTAGTTTTTATTAAAAATAACACAAAGTTGTGTCATTAAAAATGACGAACACTTACCCCTATTATACTAAACTATTAGTTTTATATTTTTACTTATTTAATTTAGTCTATGTATTTCTATTTATTAATATATTAATTTTTAATTTTTAGAACATTATTGGTTCTTGTTGTCATTATTTATTAAAATATAGCTTTTGAAAAACTAAAATTTAAATAAATAAAAATATAACAAACAACCAACAAGCACGTAAATCAACTCGTAAGTGTTGTTACTTGGGGTCTTGAGTCTCTCGGAATGCAGCTGTATTAAAACTTAGTAGGGAGAGTTTTGCTGCTCATATCGTTTTACTCGATTTGAATCAAACTAGTTGAGTAATCAATGAACGGATGAATAATATTCAAAAAAATATAACAAACAATATCTAAATAAAAAAATAAGAACCAAAACCATAATGAAAACTATAAAGACCAAATTAATTACAAGCATTTGAAGAATGAGGATCTACTTATAAATTCACATAAAATAGTTGAATGAAGTTCAATTAATTCTTAAATTTTATGAAATTTTACTGGGCATACTAAAAACTTTTGATACATAAAATGGATTGATAAAATATAATAATTACAAAAAAATTCAATGAAATAACTATACAAAGTCTTCCCCTGGAATCAATTTAGAATATATCATTAAAACAAGACTGGAAACTTCATATATGAATTTTATATATAAAATTAAAGGATTGATATTTGTCCTGCTGTACTCACATAAAAGTAAAAAAGAAAGAGAAAGAGAAAAAACATTCTACCTATTTTCACGTGAGTGCAAGAGTTAAAGTTGTCTCTATCTTGCTGGAAAAATATTATTCCCAACTAAAATTAAATTAAAACAACAAATATTTTAAAAGTATATATTTTCCATTCAATTTTTATTTTTTAATTCTTTACCTATTCATTGATTGTTTGACTAATCTAATTCTTGTGAGATTTATCATAAAAATAGAAAACTCTTCCTAGCAAGTTTTTAACACATATATACTCATGATTCAAACTCAAAATAAAATAATAAATTAGATCAATCCCATACCAATTGATGCATGTTAAAGGTGCTAATTAATAGTATGCTAAAGTAATCCCTAGAGTGATCAACGGGCTACCACTTATAAGTTATAACTACCAATAGTCAAGTACGTACGTACCGCGTATTAGACTAATAAAGTTGACTTGGAATATCTTAGAGTGTGCACGACTTGGACTTGGACTTGGACTTGGACTATTCCAATTTCCAACTTCCAAGCAATTGCCACTAATTAATGAAAAATGGCAACGACCCAACGACTGACTTTTTCCTTATTACATGGAAGTTATTTGCTATCTAGAGACCCACTGACTTTTTCCTCACCAAATAATCAAAGATTATTATTATCTAAGGATTGTTCGTAATTTTAGCATCTTACAATATTAAATTTTTAATTTTTTTTTATTAAATTAGTATCTTAAAAATTATTATTTCTTTATATTAGTCTTTTGATAATTTTTATGACAATATTAGCTTTTTAAAAAATCCAAAAAACATTATCATATTTGTCTTAATAGAGAATAAAGTGGTGAAACAAAACAGTTAATTTAATAACTGTTTGGTAATGATAATTTTAAAAGGACTTATACAATAATAACATTGTATTAATATATTAACCTTTTATATTTGAGGAATTAATTTGATAATAAATATTATTAAAAATTTAATTAAATAAATTATAGACCCACGTATACTTAGTTTTCCTTTGGATATGTTATTTTAGATAAAAATATTATTTATTTTTTACATTCTTTGACATGATTGGATTTTAAAAAAATGGAGTATTAAGAAAAACATGAATTCTGTTTTTTTATAAATATGGGTTTTTGATTTTTTTTTTAAATATATCTTTTACAACATAAATAAACTATTCAAATATTAAAAGAAAAAATATTTTTTAAAATTTTAAATATGAATATAAAATAATTTTATTTATTAAGGAAATCAAATAGAAAAATATTTAGTTTTCGAAGTGTAGTCAAATAAACGGTTTAATCCCCCACCTTTTACATTACCTTTTCATTTCTTTTTTTTTTCTCTTGAATATCAAGGATTTTTCTATTGCTATTTGTGTTTACAAACCTTGCTTTGTTTTGGAAAATTAACGGTATTCAAAGAAAATTTGAAATACACATATGCACTAATAAATACGAATCAATTGCCAATCAACTATGGACATTTTTTAAAAAAAATAAAAAATTATCAGACTTTCACTGGGATCCAAGTGAAAAACAAAAAACAAAAATAAAAATGGAATATGAAGATATCCAAACCCATCTTAAACACCATAGGATCTCAATTACACTGGAAAATGCAAGTGGGCTACAAGCCTGGCCATCAACTAAATATGAGCACTTTAATAAAGAATTAAACTAAGCACTTTAAATTTTAATGAAAATATCTTTTTTTGATGGTTTTTAGTGAAAATATTTAAAATTTTAATATGTTGTCGCACTTTAGCAAGTAGTATTATATATCATCTATAGCAATGACTCTCTATAACGAGTAGCTTTAAAGTTTTTCATAAATCCTTACGTTATAGCTTTAAAGTTTGGGTTGCAATTGAAATTTCAGTCACATCACAATAAAATCTTATCTCTTACTTACCTACACCCAAAATATATTGGAATTTGAACCTTAGAATGTTTATCTTAGTAGTTCAGCCTACACGAAAAATGTTTATCTTATTTCTTATCCAGAAAGGGTAAAGAAAAGAAGAGAGAGTATATATGCAAATGTAATTTTATTCTTTGATATCTGATGCATAAAGAATTTACAATTCATGGATGGTTTGATCCTTTGATGGAAAGGTAAAGCCATCCCCAACGAGAAGCAACTTAGAGGATCGAGCAAGTATTGGGGTATGAATCATAAACTACTGGATAGGAGGGACAAGGTGGAGGAGCATAGCAGAACTTCATATTTTCAATTTTAGTGGTGTCACTTCCACTAGAAGTCGTTTTCGCATCTCCGACACTTAAAAGGGTGGCATTGCAGAACTTCTTTCTCAACTTATTAGTCAAGCAAACAGAATCGATTCCATCTCCAGTCACCACCACTTTATCTCTGCTTTCGCCTTCTAATGACACTGAATCCACACCTGTATTGTATATATATATGTTCCATTTGGCCACAACCACAACAGAGAATCAGTATATTAATAATAAGCATATTGAAGACTATTTATAATATTTAAAATTGATACTTTTAAGTTACAAAACGTGTACCTTGAAAGACTGCAGCAATTTTCATGGCCTTGCTTCTGCATTTGTCACTGTTCATTTGCACCTGGATAATTATTTTCTGTGGAAGCAGTATAGAGCTTATTATTGAAAAAGAAATTGCATAGATCATGTAATGTAATTATTAATCATGACAAGTGATCTTACCTTCATGTTTGATAGCTTTATGTTCGGGCCGAGGAGAAGCTAGCTTAATTCGCTACTGATACGTACTATTTTATTTGATTTTTCTTATGTTTCGGTGCTTTGTGGTTACTGGTTAGGGTGTAATTCAGAGAGTGCTTTATATATAAGCTATTTTCTGTATTGTTTTGTTGACTCAGGGTAAACATCTACGTACGCACGCCATGGAAACTAGTTGATTTCTACATTTTTCTCCGTTTTACACTTATGATGGGAAATTAGCGTTAAAATATCGAGTTTGGTAGGAAATATAAAGGAATAATCAAAGGCTTTAAAAGCTAATGATTGGGTAGTTTTTTTTTTTATACATAATGATTGGGGAGGGGCTGAACCTTTAGCCATCACTCTGATCCCCCGCACTCCGGATTAGTCTCATAGTTGGCTCAAAGAGTCGAAGTTCGTGGGGATACCGGAGGGAGCCGACTCGCCTCAAAGAGATAATTAGGGTTGGATAACTCCAAATAAAAAAAGAAACCGACCGTGTTGTCTCTCTTTGACAAACTTGGCCTCGTGTCTGAATTCTATTTTGGGTTTGATATTTTTTTCCTGTCCCATGTATGTGAGCCTATTTGCAAAGTCCACGGCCAAAGTCCTCATAGTTAAATGAAAATATGGAATGTTCTTTATTTACAAAGCTGGGTAGATAATATTGTCCACCTCTTTCGTTTTATATATACATATATATATAATCGTTATACCTTCAATCATCTCACTTGTCTCTAATAATTTAAATTTATTAATTATATATGGGTCCCTAAATAAGAATAAATCAATAGCTAAAAATGAATATAAAAAAAAAAAAAATTTACACTAATATAAATTGATGCTACCCCCTCTCTATATAAAGAATTAGATAGTATGAAGTAATATTTAGTAGTTTGGCACATTAATAATATTACGTTAAAACATAATTTTAGTTCTTATATTTTATCCTGAAATTCAATTTAATTTCTATACTAGTTCATGTCAACTTTTAGTTGATTTGCAAACGATTGAAATAATGAAGTGTTAATAAACATACATAGTTTCTCGAATTATAATTTATCTATCGCAATATATATATTCTATTATATATCGAAAAAAAGAAGTTGAGATATTTTAGTCATCATGCTTTTAACCTTCAAGAACTGGCAGACAATAAGTTATTTGGTAGGGTGTAGTATAAAATGCTCAAACGATTAAATGGGAGATTCTTCTTCTGGAAGAAATTCAAGTCCTAAGCTAAGCTGCATTCCGTATACTCGGAGTCGGTGGGCTTCCTAAAAAATAAGGGTCAATGGCTCAATGCATAGATTTGCTTTCTTGGAAGTCACCGGAGAAAAGAAAAGCATGGGCCAACTCTACAGTGAGAGGCCGAAAAGTTTAATGTGCGGAAGGGAGTCATCCTTTCATGTTGAATAAAATTTCAGAGAAATTATTATTATATAAAGTGAATCAATAATGATAAAGAAAAAAAAATGGGAAGAATTCGTTTACAATTTTTTTTACAAATTACACTAAGTATGACTAGTCATATACTCTTGATTGAAGTATGACTGGTCATACTTAATATAGTTTGTAAGAGTTTGTAAACAAAAAGTTTGTAAATATAACTTTCTCCATAATAAAATAAATAGTTATAAAATCATTAATATTGATTTATTTTTGTATGAGTATGCTTTTTTTTAACATGTCTATTTTACGTTTTATTTGACCTGAGAGTAGGGGTATAAATAGACTAAGTCGGGCTAGATTCTTTCTTAAAAATATTTTAGGTATGACTTGATTTGTTAGTCTTATATAGGCTCAAATTATAAGTTTGGATGAATTTATATTTGAAAAAAAAAAGCTTTTGATCCAAACCTATTAGCCTTTTAAGCTGTAGGCCTTCACTAGTTAAAAAAATAAATTAAAATAATGTTACTTTATCATTCAAAATCATTAAAATGATAATTTATTTATTATATTTAAAATAAATAATATGGTATAAGCAGATCTGTAGACTTATAGATCCGAAATATAAAAAATATTCTGGGTCCCTCTTTCTAAATAGATTTTTTATGAGGTATGAGTCTGTGCTATTTGATTTTATATAATAGGTCGAACTGTAAGCCCCTGTTAAATCGGCTGGCCGTTTACACCCTTACCTAACAGTATCCACGAGAAAAACTTTAGTGCACTAAAAACGATTGGTGTTTCATTTTACTAAAAGAAGAAAATTTTTAGGACTTAAACAAACATATAAAAAAAACATGGATAAAAAGCAAAATAAACTCTCTTTTTAGTAAAGAGGAGCACCAAATTCGTTGCTCCTAGTGCAACAAAATGTTTTTCTCCAAGTCCTCAAGCTCAAAAGCCATAACAATCGAAAACAGTGAGACCCATTGATTTTCCACTCACTTTTATTTTGTTGAGACGAACTTTTCAATCTCGACTAAGAAGTCATTACGAACGGTCGGGCAATCGCTATCTCTGAATTCGGACTTGATGAAAACCATATTAACGACACTTCACTATATAATTATGATTAATTGTACTTCTCCTTTGAATGATCTGTACACAACGACATGGATGAATGACACCCTCAACGGTTGAGTAACTATAGAGGAAGAATCGATGCGTAATACGAAACTAATACATACACCTATTTGGGCAAAAAAAATTAAATAATTTTTTAATAAATATTTACTAAAACATACTCATTTTAAATGTAAATATGAATCTATAGCAATATTTAAATATGTTCCACATGAGGTGTGACCTAATGGAAAGAGACATGCCCCACATGGGACATGTTTTAATAGAGAGATACGCCCCACAAAGGTCGTGACTTATCTGGTGCTGACACGTGGTACAAAAAATTAACAGTTTGATCATAAAACTTTGAAAAGTCATAACTTTTAACTCATGTGTCTGAATTAGGTAAAAAAAAATTTTGATTCCACATAATTTTTTGAAATCTACACAATGAGGTCTCATTGAAGAGAATTTGATGAATTTTTTTTTTCAAAATTTCGGATATTTTATTATAAAACTTCAGATGACTATAATTTTATATCCTTTAAAAGAACAAATATTTTTTCCTTCTTTTTTATATACTTTTAGTAATTTAAGTTTTGGTTAATATTACTAAGGAAAAAGTAGTTGTCATTAAAAATAACACAAAGTTGTGTCATTAAAAATCACGAACACTTAGCCTATACTAAACTATTAGTTTTTATTTTTTACTTATTTAATTTAGTCTATGTATTTCTATTTATTAACATATTAATTTTTATTTTTTAGAACAATATTGGTTCTTATTGACGTCATTATTTATTAAAATATAGCTTTTGAAAAACTAAAATTTAAATAAATAAAAATATAACAAACAACCAACAAGCGCGTGAATCAACTCGTAAGTGTTGTTATCTGGGGTCTTGAGTTTGAGTCTCTCGGAATGCAGCTGTATTAGAATTTAGTAGGGAGAGTTTTTCCGATCATATCGTCTTACTCGATTTGAATCGAACTAGTTGAGTAATCAATGAATAGATGAATAATATCCAGAAAAAAACAAACAAACATTATCTAAATAAAAAAATAAGAACCAAAACAATAATGAAAACTATAAAGACCAAATTACAAGCATTTGAAGAATGAGGATCTACTTATAAATTCACATAAAATAGTTGAATGAAGTTCAATTAATTCTTGATTTTTATGAAATTTTACTGGGCATTCTAAAAACTTTTGATACATAAAATGGATTGATAAAATATAATAATTACAAAAAAATTCAATGAAATAACTATACTACAATAAAAAATTTTATTAGTGTCCAAAATTTCGTCACTACATAGGAAATTTCGTCACAAATTCTTAAGTCGCAAATTTATTTGTGACGAAATTTGATTATTTGTGTCGAAAATTGTCATTTGTGACAAAATTTGTGATGAAAATTTTTGTCACAAATAAACTTTTTTCTTGTAGCTTCCGCTGGAATCAATTTAGAATATATCATTAAAACAAGACTGGAAACTTCTTAAATGAATTTTATATATAAAATTAAAGGATTACTATTTCTCCTGCTGCATTCACATAAAAGTGAAAAAGAAAAAAAAAAAGAGAAAAAATATTCTACCCATTTTCACGGAAGTGCAAGAGTTAAAAAGTTGTCTCTATCTTGCTGGAAAAATATTATTCCCAACTAAAATTAAATTAAAACAACAAATATTTTAGAAAAATATTTCAATTTTTATTTTTTAATTCTTTACTTATTCGTTGATTGTTTTGACTAATCTAATTCTTGTGAGATTCATCATAAAAATAACAAACTCTTCCTACCAAGTTTTTAACACATATATAGTTATATATACTCATGATTCAAACTCAAAATCAAATAATAAATTAGATCAATCCCATACCAATTGATCGATGTTAAAGGTGCTAATACTTAATAGTATGCTAAAGTAATCCCTAGAGTGATCTACGGGCCACCACTTATAACTACCAATAGTCAAGTACATACCGCGTATTAATACTAAGTTGACTTGGAATATTCCATTGGTTTAGAATGTGCACGACTCGGAATTCCCAACTTCCAAGCAATTGCCACTAATTAATGAAAAATGGCAACGAGCCAACGACTGACTTTTTCCTCATTACATGGAAGTTATTTGCTATCTAGAGACCGACTGACTTTTTCCTCACCAAATGATCAAAGGTTGTTATTATCTAAGGATTGTTCGTAATTTTAGCATCTTACAATATTAAATTTTTTAATTAAATTAGTATCTTATAAATTAGTATTTCTTTATATTAGTCTTTTGATCATTTTGATGACAAAATTAGCTTTTTTAAAAATCCAAAACATTATCATATTTGTCTTAAAAAAGAATAAAGTGGCCAAACAAAAAAGTTAATTTAATAACTGTTTGGTAATAATAATTTTAAAAGGACTTAACATTGTATTAATATGTTTACCCAAAAAAAATTGTATTAGTATATTAACCTTTTATATTTGAGGAATTAATTTGATAATAAATATTATTAAAAATTTAATTAAATAAAGGGAAATAATTTTCTTATGTTGTAGGAAAATAATTATTTTATGTTGTAGAAATAAGATTGCAAGTGAGACCCATAGCTAATAGGAGAGAAAAAAAAAAGTGGGACCACCATCTTTTGTGTATATAGGAAATTTAGTTATCTCATACAAAATGAGATAAATATAACTATTAAATAAATTATAGATCCACGTATATTTAGTTTTCCTTTGGATATGTTATTTTAGATAAAAATAATATTTAATTTTTAAATTCTTTGACATGATTGGATTTTAAAATAAATGAAGTATTAAGAAAAACACGAATTCTATTTTTTTCATAAATATGGGTTTTTATTTTTTTTTTAAATATATTTTTTACAACATAAATAAACTATTCAAATATTAATAGAAAAAATATTTTTTAAAATGTTAAATGTGAATATAAAATAATTTTATTTTTTTAATTTGTTCAAATAATTTTCTATAATTTTAAATTTTAAATTTCAGTCTTTACGCTTATTCTGTTTTTTGCGAATTGGTGAACGGTCGGGCAATTGCTATCTCTGAATTCGGACTTGATGAAGTGCACGTTTGGATTTTTATTTTATTTTTTTTAAGCTAGTAGTTATTTATAAGCAGAAACTAAATTAAATAGGTTTTGAGAAAAAAAAATTATAATGAAGAAATAAAATTAAAAGCAAAAAGCCAAAAGCTCTTAGAAGAAGTTTTTTTAAAATTCTTATCAACTTTTTTTGAATTGTGTATTTTTTTAATGAAGAGCTATAGAGAGAGATAATTTTCTTAAAATAATGCTTTTAACTAACTTTTAAATTACAAATTTTATGTAATCATCAAAAAAAAATTAGCCTTTTAGTTTTAGTTTTTTTTTAAACTTTAACTTATAAATAATTTTGCTTAAAAAGAGAAAAACCATATTAACTACACTTCACTATATGGTTAAATGTACTTCTCCTTAGATTACCAAAAATAAAATAAAATTGTACTTCTCCTTTGTATGAGTTGTACATAGGGGTGTGCATAGGTCAGGTCGGGTCAGGTTTTTATGCCGACTCGACCCAACTTAGTTTTTATAGGTCAGGTATTTTGACCCGACCCGCTTTAATTTGATCCAAGTCAAGTCTGACTTGGTTTGAATTTTTTTGAACTAGTTCAGAACCGGGACGGATCTGATCTGACTTGGTTTCTGAAGTGGGTCAAATCCGACCTGACCCGTTTTTGACTTGGTTTCAAAATATATTTTTAATTTGATTTTTTTATAGTTATTGATTTATTTTTTAAACTCATGTAATTTAATTATTTATTTATTTTAAAATATATAAATTTTATAATAAATTTGATATTTGTTGAATAAATAAAGAAATGTAATTTTAAGCCCCTACACATGTGAAGCAAAATTAATGAAAATTAATGAAAAGTGAAGGATGAGAGAACGTTCTTCCCATCTTAAGATGACAAACCACTAATTTTAACAATAATATATTATAAAATTAAATAATGTCTATTGATATGAAATTCATAAATTCAAACCCAAATTATACAATTATTATTAGGGAAAGATCGATTAGTTTAAAGCAACTCTTGGCTAATATGATTGTACATATATAATTTTAGTTATCAACTACAAAGAAAATAGAAAATTTAAGACTTTGTTTGAGAGTTTGGAAGGGAAGGGAATGAGGGGATCCAAGGGAGAGGGAAGGGAAGAAAATTGAAGGGTATTTCCTTCCCTTGTTTGGTAGTTAAAAAAATGGTAAGTGAAAAAAATGGAAGGTTAATGAGATATTTTTATTATTTTAATATTTTTTTTAAATTAATATAATTATTATATTTTACAAATTAAATTAAATTTAAAATTTCTAACAAAATGATTTATGTACTTTTCACAATACTAAAAAGATCATATTTTTGATAAAATTTCTACGTTGCAAACGACAAAAATTTAGTCACAAAATTATTTTTTTCGTCCGAATATTTTTTGTCGAAAAGCGACGGAATTTTTTCTCTAATGAAAATTTTTACAAAAATAAATTTTCTATCGAAATTTTTGACGAAATTTAGTTTCCGTCAAAAGTTTTGACGAAATGGAAAAATGTTTGTCATTTTAAATGTATTAAACTTACGTCAGAGAGAGATAGACACATAATTTTATTTTTTATTTAAAATTTAAATTAAAAAAACCACTCACTTTCTCTCTCCCATGATTTCCATTTCATGTTTCTATCTCTCTCCTAAAATGACATAACTTATGTCATTTAAAATGACAAACACCAAACCCTTGACGAAAATGATTTCCTCCATCAAATGTTTTAAACGAAAAAAGAATTCCGTAAAAAATTTTAACGGAATGTTTTTCGTTCAAAATTTCGATGGGAATATGTTCTGACGAAAATTGTTTTGAGGGACATGTTTCATTTTAAACTTTCGACGAAATTTAGATTCACTAAATAATTTTGAAAGAATATTTTTTCCGTCAAAATTTTTTATCGAAATATTTTTTGTCAAAAATTTTACCAAAATTTTTGACAGAAATTTGTTCCTTTGAAAATTTTGATCGAAATATTTTTTATCAAAAAACTTGACGAAAATATTTAGTCGAAAATTTTCGATGAAAATGTGTTTCGCTAATAATTTCAACAAAATTTTGTTTTGTCCAAAAATTTAACAAAAATATTTTCGTCAAAAAATTTCAATGGAAATGTGTTTATTCAAAAAAATTGATGAATATGTTTTTTACTGAAATATTTTGACGAAATTTAAATTCCGTAAAAAAAAATTTCCGTCAAATTTTTTTCAGAAATGTTCAGTCACAAATTTTGATGAAAATATTTTTCGTCGAAAATTTTTATGAAAATATTTTTCGTAAAATTTTTTGACATAATTGTTTTACGTTAAAACTTTTCTTTTAACGTAATTGTGATTTTTTTTCTTTTTTTTCACATAATGAGTGCGGGTCAAGTTTTGGGTCATTATTAAAACAAATTAGGTCTAAAACTGAGCCAAATAAAAGTGGGTCAGTATTGAAACTCAGCTAAAAAAATAAATATTTATGAGTGAGGTTAAAATCAGATCAAGAGCATGGCAAATGAAGTATGTTTTTGCACAACCGCGGTACACAACGACATGGATGAATCACACCCTTAACGGTTGAGTAGCTATAGAGGAAGAATCGATGCGTAATATGAGAATGATACATACACCCATTTTTCAAATAGATTCAAATGCATTATTATATCCATAAAATATTAAAAGAAATACTAAACCTTTTAGAATCCATGCACTTTTCAAACCTGAAAGTTTTTCATAAATCTTTACGTTATAGCTTTAAAGTTTGAGTTGCAATTGAAATTTCGGTCACATCACAATAAAATCTTATCTCTTACCTACACCCAAATATATTGGAATTCGAACCTTAAAATGTTTATCTTAGTAGTTCAGCCTACATGAAAAATGTTTATCTTATTTCTTATCCAGACAGGGTAGAGAAAAAGAGAGAGTATTTATGCAAATGTAATTTTATTCTTTGATACCTAATGCATAAAGCATTTTCTTCGTGGATTGTTTGATCCTTTGATGGAAAGTTAAAGCCATCCCCAACGAGAAGCAACTTAGAGGATGGAGCAAGGATTGGGGTCTTGATTATAAACTACAGGGTAGGAGGGACAAGGTGGAGGAGCATAGCAGAACTTTAAACCTCCGGCATCTCCATCTCCATCAGAAGTGTTCGCATCTGCAACACTTAAAAGGGTAGCAGAGCAGAACTTCTTTCTCAACTTATTAGTCAAGCAAACAGAATCGATTCCATCTCCAGTCACCGCCACTTGATCTCTGCTTTCGCCTTCTAATGACACTGAATGCACACCTGTTTATATGTTTGATTTGAATCAGTATATTAATAAGCATATTGAAGACTATTTATATTTAAAATTGATATACTTGAAGTTACAAAACGTGCACCTTGAAAGACAGCAGCAATTTTCAGGGCCTTGCTTCTGCATTTGTCACTTTCCATGTGCACCTGGATAACTATTTTCTGCGGAAGCAGTATAGAGATTATTATTGAAAAAGAAATTGCATAGATCAGGTAATGTAATTATTAATCATGACAAGTGATCTTACCTTCATGTTTGATAGCTTTATGTTCGGGGGAGAAGCTAGCTTAATTCGCTACTGATACGTACTATTTTATTTGATTTTTCTTATGTTTCGGTGCTTTGTGGTTACTGGTTAGGGTGCAATTCAGAGAGTGCTTTATATATTAGTATGTAGGTTATTTTCTGTCTTATTTTGTTGACTCAGGGTAGACATCTTGCGCACTACGTAATGACGTCATGGAAACTAGTTGATTTCTACATTTTCCTCCTTTTTACACTTATGATGGGAGATTAGGTGTCGTTGAGCGTTAAAATATAGTGTTTGGTAGGAAATATGAAAAGGCAAAAGCTAATGACTGGGTAGTGAAAGATGAAAAGAAACCGACCGATGTTGACTCTCTTGGACAAACTTGGCCTATCCCGTGTATGTAAATCTTTGCAAAGTCCGCGGCCAAAGTCTGATACGGTAACAAGAAAGGGGACAAGGATAAGGAGTGGTCCAACATGGGTCAAGGACTTTGTCCTATAAGCCCAATGGCTTTGTCATCTAGCTTATAGTTTAAGCCCACTGTCTTTGTATAGTTTACGGGCTGTTAATAGTTGAGGTAGTTAATAAAGTGAGAGGCTATGCCTACGTGGCTTGTAGAAACACCTATAAAAGGTAGTTGGTTGTGTAGAAACAGTTATCTTGAATATACATAGAAAACAGATTGTTCTTGTTACTCAATACAGATCTTCATCTGTATCAAAGTCCTAATAGTTAAATGGAATTATCTTTATTTTAAAAAGCTGAGTAGATACCCAATCACGCTCCATATATATATATATATATATATGGGAAAAACATTTCTCTGACAACTTGAGATAAGTTTATCTCCGACCATCACAAAACTACGTCATTTTGTTTATTTATTTTGTTATCTTAATTGATTCACCTTTGAATGGTTATGATTTCCTTTTTTTCTTCTTCTTTATTACCATTGATCCATCTTTGTACGGTTATGATTTGGTAGCTGGAGATAAAATTATCTCCGGCAGCTTGAGAAATGATAAGCCCTGTATATATATATATATATATATATAGGAGAGAGATCATTTGACTCGAGAGTAAGACTTATAAGTCTTACTCTCTATCCTAACCGTTGATTTCCGTCCATCCAACGGTTATAATTTAAGAAGTTATATTAATTAATTAATTATTAATTATACTATTAATGACAACCGTTGATTTCCGTCCATCAACGGCTGGGATTTGGAGTAAGACTTAAAAGTCTTACTCTGGAGTCAAAAGAACCCTCCCCATATATATATATATATATATACAAATATATATATATGTATATATATATATATATGGGGCAAGATATTCTTACACCGGTGTAAGAGTTAGAAGTCTTACACTCAATCTTGACCATTGATCCACTTGTATCCAATGGCTCACATTAATAAAAAAATTAGAGCCTTTAGATATAAGTGGAATCAACGGACAAGATTAAGAGTGTAACTTATACTGGTGTAAAATGATCCTAACCCTATATATATATATATGATAAAATATTTCTTCAATCATTGGAGATAAGTTATCTCCCGCGACCCTCAAAACTATGTTGTTTTTAATTAATGAAGTGAGTTTCGGTAAAATTCATATAATAAACAAAATTACGAAAACATCCTTCATTAATTCAAAAAGATATAATTTGGGGGTCATTAGAGATAATTTATCTCCAGTAATTGGAGAAATACTTTATCTATCTATCTATATATATATATATATATATATATATATATATATATATATATATATATATGAGGTACGATCCTTTGACACTAGTGTCAAATTTAAAATTTGACACCTCATCTGAGAGCCAATAGATCAAAAAAGATCAATGGTATCACATGCTTACAAATCAGAGCCATTGATGTTGTTTGATCTAATGGCTCTCAGATAAGGTGTCAAATTTCAAATTTGACACTGGTGTCAAAGGATCCTACCTATATATATATATATATATCGTTTCTCTTGCCACAAGAGATAAATTTATCTCCAGCAACTTCAAAATTACACCGTTCTGAAGGTTGGAGGAAATAATTAAGAGTATTTTGTTAAAATTCATATAACAAAGAAATAAATAAAAATTTCAAAATTATCCTTCATTAATTCTCTCAATCCCAAAACGACGTAGTTTTGGGGTTTCTGGAGATAAGTTTATCTCTTATGATAGGAGAAATATTTCTCTCATATATATAAATTTTCAAAGGGTGGGAGTGTCCAAGGCATTATAAACTCCACATTAGTTGTTCATACAATCAATGTGGGACTATATATCTCAACATAGTGGGTCTCATTACTTATTAAAAAAGAAAAAATATAAGCACAACAATCGATGAATATTTAGGAAATTATATTATCTCATGCAACATAAGAATAATATAACCCTATATATATTTGATGGGTTTGATGTTTGTCATTTTAAATGACATAAGTTATAGGGATGTTCGCGGTCTGGATTGGATCAGTTTTGGAAGCAAAAATCATCTGATCCAATCCCTTCGATTTGATTATGTAGTCATCCACTTGATTTGTTTTTTTTTTCAAATCCGACGATCCAATCCAATTTTTTTCGGTTTGGATTGGACCGGTTTTTAGTTTTTTGAAAATCCTAAAATTAGTTTCATGATTATTGTGCAAATATCATCTTTTGTATATATTGCCTTTGTAAATTATTATATTTTTGAAATACAAAAACATCATTAAACGATAATATAATTTTTTTTTGGGACAATAAGATATGAAGCTCTACACAGGTGAAATTTTGTTGATGAGATGTGACTAGGTTTTTTCTTGTGGATTTAGTTGATGGGTTAATGGGTCTTGGATTTGGAAATTTTTGAGCTATGATTGGGAAAGGACCAAGCAGGTAGAGGAAAATTAATATATTGGATCGGTTTGGATTGGATCAGTTTTCATCAATCCATCCAAAAACCAATCCAATCCAATTAAAATTTGCCGTTTTTTTTCTTTCTGTTTTCGGTTTATTCGGTTATCGGTTTTTCGGTTTGATCATCGCGGTTTGAATCGGTTGACGAACACCCTTGATAAGTTATGTCATTTTAGAAGAGAGATAGACACCAGGAATGAAAATCATGAGAGAGAAAGTGAGTCATTTTTTTAATTTAAATTTTAAATAAAAAAATATTATTATATGTCTCTCTCTCTCTTAAAATGACATAACTTTATGTCATTTAAAATGACAAACAATTTTTCCATATTTGATAGGTTATATTTAAAAATTATTTATTTACAAACTACACTATGTGTTCTGAGGAGCATATTTCCAGTTAAGTATACTCCCCGGAGTACATAATGTAGTTTGTAAGATTTTGTAAACAAAAAATTCATAAACATAACCCTCTCCATATATATATGGGTCACTTTTTTCTCAGGTGCTGCTAAAAAAATCTCTTCTGCTATCGATTATAACGATGTACTCCGACGAGTACATAGTTATGATATGAAAATTGTTTTTTCACTCCCCACGTCAGCCGACAACTTCTGAAGAGAAAGAAAAAAATAGCTAATATATATATTGTTTTCGTTTGCAAACGTTATTTGATTATATTGGTACTTTGTATTAGTTTTACAAATATTTTTAATTTTTATGATCAAACAGTATTCGATAATGCTTGCGACATTGATGTTGTATCAACAGATTCGGAAAAAGTTGCAGTATCTTTAAATTAAAATCAAATTTTATCAATTAAATATTTTTTGCGTTATTTGTATAATGTTTCATAATTTCATATAATTTTAATGTCTTACTTGGATGATGAGAGTCAAACATATGACAGTCACTACAAGAAAAATCCATATTTTCTATTGAATTTTTTCTTTACAAACAATAAAAATTTTGTCGAAAAATTCCTTTTCGACGGATTTTTTCGTTTAAAAACACTTTGATGAAAGCTGACAGAATTTTTTTTCGTCGAAATTTGCAACCGAAAAAATTTCTGTTGAAAATTTAGACGGAAATTATTTCCATCGAAAAGTTCTGACACAGTTTGCAATGAAATTTAACTAGAATTCCGTCAAAAATACCAATGGAAATATTTTTCCTTTGAAAATTTCCGTTGCTATTTTCATATATATATATGGAATATGTTATTCTACCTATTTTTTTATACCTATCTTATATGTCACTCTCCAACATCGTTACATCAGAATCTTAACTAACTTTTATTATTTCTCTCTCCTATAGAGATTATGATCTAACAGTGTTGTAAAATGATAGGTAATATAAGCACAAAAAAATATAGATAGAATAACCTATTTATATATGGATTATATTACTCTCATGTTGCTTGAGAGTAATATAACTTCTTATAGACTCATCGATTTTTGTGCCTTTTTCTTTTTTCTTTTTTTTCCTTTTTAATAAATTCTGGGCACACCACATGATTGTATCTACAATATGAGACAACATATCTTATATTACATAAGAGTAATATATATATATAGGAAAAAATATTTCTCAAGTAGCTTGAGATAAGTTTATCTCCGGCCACTTTAAAACTATTTCGTTTTATTTATTTATTTTCTTATATTAATTTATTCACCTTAATTTGAATGATTATGATTCCCTTTTTTTTCTCTCTTCCTTTATCATCATTGATCAATCTTTGTATGCTTATAATTTAGTAGCTGGAGATAAAATTATCTCAAGCAGCTTGAGAAACGATAAACACACACACATATATAGCCCATATATATATAACATCATTTGACATTGATATCAAACTTTTTAATTTGACATCCCATCTGAACCATTGATTCTGTCACTCTAATGTGGTAATTTATTAATAATTAATTAATAGGTATATCATAATAAATTATAGTCATTAAATTGATGAAAATCAACAGTTCAAATGGGATCTCAAATTATCTTATCCTACATATGTTGGGCAGGGACACAATCAACTTACACCAGTGTACAAATAAGAAGTTTTAAACTCGATCTTAATCATTAATTTGCTTGCCTATAATAACTTTTATATCTAATAAATTAGAACTATTAGATATAAACAGGATGAACAAGAGCTAAAACCAATATAAGTTACG